GGGGGTGCTCCAGGGAGAGCCCCCCCACGGAGCACCTCCGGCCATGTCGCCGTCCAGCACATCACCCTGCCCGCAGCAGACGGATCGAGCGGCTTCCTCCATGCCCCAGCAGCAGCCATTTCCATCCCAAGTTTGTACAAATTCTGTTTTATCCGCCGCAGCGTGACCCCCATTCCTGCCCCACTCCTGAGCTGCCATGACCCCAGCACGGCCGTGGCTCCCCTCGAAGCGCTGATTACTCCTGCCCAACTCAGCACCCACACTCATCCAGCTGGAATTGCATCCTGCATTTTCAGGCTGCTTCTTCATTTTCTCAAGATTATTTTGAATTACTCCCCTGACAGGCTTGGGTTTGGAGCCCTCTCTGTCCCTTCCGCAGAGCTGAAAAGCAGAGTGCCGGTTCCCCCACCGGCCACCACCAGCTCTGCTGGGGACACCAGGACCCCTGCATTCACTGCTCCAGCAGCGCCCCATGGCCGATGACTCTTGCTGGTGGTGGGAACGGCGCTGCAAAGCACCAGCAGGGAGGAAACCAAAAGTAGACACCTAAGGGTTAAGTGTGCAAATACATGGAAATAAAGTCTTCACATCTGATGCTCAAAATAAGTATGTGCCACCTTTAAAAGGAAAGCAGCTCTAAAAGAAGAAAGCTCACAGTGTGAGCTCATCCCTCATGGCAGAGTGACACGGGAGATCATCTCCGAGGTATGGCAGGGCAAGGCATCCTCCTCCTCCTCCTTATCACTGCAGGTTTGTAACAAGAAGATGTGACGCCTGATCTCCAGTGGACACTGAAGGGCATGGTGGACCCAGTCAGTACCGACTGCACCGGCAAGGAGTACTCAGAACAATTTGTGCTATTACCAGACTTGCTACAGCCTGGGGACATGGACCGCTTCCCTCCTGCACGCTAGCACAGCCTGGTCGAGCCGAGTTCCACGGCCCCGGATGGAGCCCACCACCAGGTTGCCATTGACAGAAGCCAGTGGAGGGCCCTGCCCATCACCACGTGCTCCTCCATACCCCGGCCACCACCGACCTCGCAGCCGGGGCAGCCCCGCTGCCATCAGCCACCGCATGCGAGGTGGGAGGCATCACCCTTGACAGGCTGGAGAGGTGGGCCTGCGTGAACCGCATGAATTTCAACAAGGCCAAGTGCAAGGTCCTGCCCGTGGGTCGAGGCAATCCCAAACACAAGTACAGGCTGGGCAGAGAGTGGCTCAAGAGCAGCTCAGAGGAGAAGGACTTGGGGGTACTGGTGGATGAGAAGCTCAACACGAGCCGGCAATG